GGATATCAAAACAAATTAAAATTAACATGAAATCGGCACTGCCTTAAAGTGAACGCAAATTGATCAACATTTTAAACTGCATGATTCATGGCTTCACGAAAGTTTTTTTTGTTTTCGTTCATTAGCTTAAATTTTGCAAGATCATAACAAGACACACATTGACATATCCACAAATACCAATATGTTACAATAGACTTTGATCTATCGCGGTGGTGTCATCACCGTCTTATGCACGACAATCATGTCAGAGATTGGAAACTGATGTAATGAAAATTACGACGCGCGCGCGCGCGCGCGCGCGCGCGCGCGCGCGCGCGCGCGCGCGCGCGCGCGCGCGCGCGCGCGCGCGCGCGCGCGCGCGCGCGCGCGCGCGCGCGCGCGCGCGCGCGCGCGCGCGCGCGCGCGCGCGCGCGCGCGCGCGCGCGCGCGCGCGCGCGCGCGCGCGCGCGCGCGCGCGCGCGCGCGCGCGCGCGCGCGCGCGCGCGCGCGCGCGCGCGCGCGCGCGCGCGCGCGCGCGCGCGCGCGCGCGCGCGCGCGCGCGCGCGCGCGCGCGCGCGCGCGCGCGCGCGCGCGCGCGCGCGCGCGCGCGCGCGCGCGCGCGCGCGCGCGCGCGCGCGCGCGCGCGCGCGCGCGCGCGCGCGCGCGCGCGCGCGCGCGCGCGCGCGCGCGCGCGCGCGCGCGCGCGCGCGCGCGCGCGCGCGCGCGCGCGCGCGCGCGCGCGCGCGCGCGCGCGCGCGCGCGCGCGCGCGCGCGCGCGCGCGCGCGCGCGCGCGCGCGCGCGCGCGCGCGCGCGCGCGCGCGCGCGCGCGCGCGCGCGCGCGCGCGCGCGCGCGCGCGCGCGCGCGCGCGCGCGCGCGCGCGCGCGCGCGCGCGCGCGCGCGCGCGCGCGCGCGCGCGCGCGCGCGCGCGCGCGCGCGCGCGCGCGCGCGCGCGCGCGCGCGCGCGCGCGCGCGCGCGCGCGCGCGCGCGCGCGCGCGCGCGCGCGCGTTATGAATTATGTCATATTTTATCTTTGCATATTGTATGTAAAATATATAACTACATACATAAATAGGATGCATAATTCTGTTATTTTTTATGAATTTTTCTAATTTCTTCCGTTCATTCACAAGTTTATTTGTATCTCCTCTTTACTACAAGACTTTACAATAAACAAGCATGGAACACCTATATTAATGAATTAATATTTATTAACTTGTGTAAGTTGAGTACAGACATTGATTTATATACATATTAACTTGATTGTCATATTTATCACGTCTCCTGATATATTAAAATTCCAAAAGGCCATAATCGTTGACGTTAAACTTTTAAAACAAATTCAAAAAACAATGTCAACTTTATATATTGGAGTGTTGTTATTACTGATCTTTACAAAAATGGATGTTTGTTTAATGTAATAAAAAAAAAATGTATGATCGACAGCTGAATCTTGTTGGTTTAGAATTACAACACAAAATACTATAAAGCACTCGCTGAACTCGAGAATAAAAGTTGGTCCCAGTAGTTAATGTTACACAAACTTCAGAAAGCCGTCATGAAAAAAATGTACATAGTACATATGAAGTAGATGCACTTTTTGTGACATTATATCACAGGAAGAATTGCGGGAGTATAATCATTTGAGGGCTCGCTGTGTAGTCTGAATAAGACATACACTATATTGTAAATGTGTCATCAATCCAAGATGTTCAGACATTAGTGGAGGGAGATTGATTACTTCACAGCTAAGTGAACAAACATAAAAGCCATAAATAATTATCAAGTTATTATATTACAGGTCCTCACTGAATATTTCTATTTCTAGGTTTTATCTCAAATGATCATGACAAAATCAGTGTTCTGGTGACATCAAGGCTAGTTAAGTCTCTAGCAGACTTGTTTCCAGCCCCTATTATTATATAACAATACAATGTAATTGATTCTATTAAAGTGCCATATACATATTTATATATTATATGTCCCTGGGTTCGTGTGTAGTTTTGCAGCAAACATATTTTTTCATGAGTCATATAGCTATTTTCTTTCTTTCAATACCTGAAATAAAATGTAGAAAAGCATGTATGAAAGAGAAAAATTAAATATTATCCTAAAAAGTATTTATAACATATGTACAATTGATCTTTAGCTTTGAACTACATATTTGTTTGTTAATATTGACTTTCTTGTGCCGAGCAAAAGGCGCCTGTCATATGTTTCTCTAACATCTAAACATTGCTTTCCAGTTGGATCCTCATATACATATTGGTCCATGATGTCACCAGGGTATTAATCACAATGATTCGACTCCGATCTTTTACTTTTATCTTGATTCTACCAAAATCCGTTTTATAACGGAAGTTATCTATGACGTGAATGATGCTGCATGGTGTACGTGACGCTTCTGAATTCGTTAGGCCACAGGCTACAGCTGTAACCAGTTAATAGGTATACATGTTTCAGATGAAGAAACTATTTAGGAAAAGTTATATGTTATTTGTCAGTCGTGAAAAAACTTAATGTATCAGACGATTACGTGTAAGACCAGCCAACGAGTGACATGATGACCATACCTGTGTAAAATCAACTTTTCTGTAACCATTGGTTGTTCGTGTGTAGATTACTCCAACTTCTGAAATAGATTTTGACCCGGAAGTAATTCAAATTTGTAAAGGTTGCACTAAATACAGTCAGGAATAAACGGAGAAACTAGAACTGCCTATTTATCCTGCCAATTTCTATTGTTCGCAATATACTTTATAGGCCCATTAGACAAACAGATAATTATCTGTTACACTACAGAAGTGCAGTGCACTTTAAGGATCAGTAGTTGACCCCTTTAAGGCAATTATTTCTCTAACATGATTATCGTCGTTGTGGATTACCAATTCTTCAGCAGTCACATTTCATATTACATCGACGTCCCCGGTTCCCTGGTTTCATTTCCTCCTTCTGTAAGACTGAACATTTTCGAACGTAAGTGAACGTTAGAAAATTGATATATGATACATCGGAAATGAAGATTAATTTAAAGTGAAACTTGTATCTTAAGAAATGCCATTTAAACGCTTCGTTGATTAGTAAATAGCTAAATAAAAAAAAATGAAAATAACCAACTTAATTCTGAGAAAAAAGCAGTGAAGCGTTTCGTGGTTGCTTTTTGGGAAACGCCGTTTTATATTGTATTCAATTCGCTATTTTCTAAGTTCTGAGATCAGAATTTTACATACAAATTATTTCTGATAGCTTAGGATATGTTTTATTTTCTTATATATCGAAAAAAAACGACTTTTTTTTTTACCTTTTTATATATACAGGGACGTATATATTAACGTCCCTGATATATATAACACACAAAAAACTAGGATTGTTTCCGGACCAGAAATTTCATTTTCCCTTAATCGACTTTCTGACTTTCGGTCTGGAAGTTTTTTTGTTTTGTTTTGTTTTGTTATTTGTTTTGTTTTTTTATGTTTAAAAATAAGGTATTACTTACAATTATTTTTTGCATGCAAGCCTCCAACAACAAAGGACGTAGTCTGTATTACATTACTACCAGTACATAACTAATATCGAAACGTCAGCTGAAAGTCCGTAATAGTGGACGCAAAACCCGTTAATAAACAACCTAACTCCGATATCTTGTATCAGGGACGTCCCTGCTTGAACATATACTTTTACTCCACTAGACGATAAAGGGAGCGAATGCCGGAGAGGACAATTTTACATACAACGCGAATAAACTCTTTGATACTGACTGAAAGAGATTACTTACAGCGAGGAACCACCGTGAATTTGATAATGTACAAGATAGCGCGATAAAGCTTTTATCTGTAAGTGTTCACGTTTTCACTGCCGGCATTGAAAATAGGGGAAAAGTCGTTGTGAAACCCGTTAAATCACGGACGAATTAGTGGCTATATGAAGATAAAAAAAAACACACACACACACGGAAGTCATTTCCGTGTCCAAGACTCCTCATTATCAGCATCATAGAATATAAATTGCACAATAATGAAATATAGAACCCATCTTCCTTACATGCAACATAAAGTACAGGAACAAGTAGAGTTACAATGAAGTATACCCTTCAATACTAGATTGACACAGACATCAGAGTGGGTGGTCGGGTAGCGCAGCGGTAACGCACTCGCCGACCGGAGTTCGATTCCCGGAACGGACGTGAAAAGGCCCGACCATATGGGTGTACCCCAGGTACTCCGGTTTCCTCCCACAATAAGACCCCTCGCGCGCTTACATTCCGGCCAACAAGGGTGATTAGTATAAGTTGACATAACTTGTTTCGCAATTGTTGTAAAATAAATGAAGTTTATATATATGTTTCAGAGTGATGTAGCGTTTCTCTCATAGATATCAAAGGTTTCTCGGTCGTAGAGGATGTGTTATATATGTCTCTGATCGAACGGGATTTTTTTTTTATCGATATGAAAGCAAATGTTAATTTAAAAAAAAACAGGGCCCGAATATGTTGTGGTAACTGGAAGATCTACGGAATTAAGTTACTGCTATGTCAAACCAACTGGAACGATAATGATCCTGGACTTCACCAAATTATACCAGAATATCTAGTCTATTATATAAAATATCTCGTGACTAAATATTTAGATACTGGTTTGAGAATCCAGTATTATATATATAATAATACGTCCTTTGCTTGAATTATTTTTTTTTAAATTACTTCATATACAGGGAATCAATGTAAGGTAAGTATACTATACACAATATCTCTTTCGCGTGATTTAAGAAATAATTACAATAATTTAATTAACATACATAGTTAAAGCGTTTAAAAGATGCAAACGTGGTCTATGCATAGTCTCTTTTGTGTTTTACTCAATCAACTCCTTTGATTACCACGTTTAGTTCAACGACACAGTTCTAGACTATTTCTTGGTGATAACGACTGACTTTTCAGGATAACAGGGAATTTCCAATCAAAATAGTTCTTACTGATATGACAGATGCAAAAAGCCCATAGCCTATTTTGAGCTGAAAAGGAAGTCGCGGAATTCAAGTTTTACACGGTAGAAAATGATGCTTAAAGCGCAATTATTTATTATTTAATGATAATCCAGACTATCACCACTGTTTTCTTCAAAGGTTCCTGTTAAACAGTTGTTTACTTTCGATTTGTTGTCGATACTAGTTAAAACTCTTCCTCCTTAAAACGTAAAGGTAAGCAGGCAAGTACTTTTACTTTATGTTATTGTCATTTGATAAAGAATCGTATTCATAAAAAGAACGCTGCAAGTTATAGGCGATTAATCCTCCTTAGAAAAGGTACAATACAGTTTGTTATATACAAACTTGTTATTTATGTGGAAAGTAGACACAGAATATTTAGGCAAGCTGAAGAGAGGAACACCATACATGATTTGACATGGACAGTTCAGCAGATCACCACTTTACCATTCCTTTTAATATTAAGATTATCTTAAGTACAATTTGGTATTAAATGGATCAAAATCATTTGGTTATGGACATACAATAGATTTTAATAGTATTACATTTATTCATCCCAACACTCTCAGTCTGTTTGTTCTGAGTCACATTATCTTCTGCATTGATATCAGAGACATATATAACACATGTTATTTGCATTCATATGCGTCTGATTGATACAAATATATATGCTGGACCTCATACTTTCATTCTACTTTTCAAAATTTGCTTCATGTTTGGTTGGTTGAATTGGGTTGGGTTGGGTTGGGTTGGGTTGGGTTGATGGAGAAAAAGTTGTGTGCACAGAAAATTTTACATCAAAGAAAAGAGCACTTATCAACAAGTACTTGACAGGCTATGATAATAACAGGGAATTGTGTCAACTTCAGTTCGAGCCATTCATGCATTCAGGCTGTTTGCCTGATGACTTCTCTGACTGGCTTCACACCTTTATAATGCCAGTATCAAATGTGTTAAGTAACCTCCTGTAAGTTCAATTAAGTCAAGACATCATGCGATCATGAAATGTTTCTGTACGATATCTGCCTCACAAAGTCACCTTCTGTAATGAGTTTTTCATTAAGATTTTATGGGTCATTTTTTGTATATTTTTTTTCAGGGAAATCATGCTGCAAAAGAAATGAAATAATAATGTCTGCCATATATTCACCAAATGGTCTACCCATGGTCAATGGGGAAAGCCCAAGAATAGAACTCCGTCACTCACCCGGAAGTTTAAATGGTGGGACGTCTTTCGATGTGATCACTCCGCCTAGTTCTGGACAGAGAACTCCAGCAGATTTGAGTTATGTTAATCCAATGGGAATGGGACAAATATCTATGACTGATGTTACACTGGAACAGGCTTTGGAACGAGTCCAGGAACTGATGAAGGAAAACAAAGATTTAAGAGGTGCATTGGATGAATGAGATTTTTGATTATCTGTAATATTTATTTGTTGACCGAGAAAAATTGTAACTTCATTTATAAACTTAAATACTTAACTGATTTATTGAATTATTGATCTTAATTCCCTTCATTCTTGTCTAGGGCTATCAGTGATGTAGAGTCAACTGCAGTATTTGTCATTTGTAACAATAAGTCTTGATTGAATCAATGCATGAGTGATGACAATACTCCCAGCTCTCAGATTATACGTAAATCACTTAAAAATTCCTGTTCCATAATCTAATGTTTTATAATTATGTATACTCTCTTTTCCAATGCTTTGAAATAAAACAATCAAATTTGATTGAAATTGACGTTTACATGAAATGTATTTCCTTGTAGACTATATGAAGGAAAACAATGAGATGATGAGACAGCAGTACGAGGCTCTGGCTGAGTATAAAACGAGGGTCCAAGAAAGTAACGCACAAAACAAGGACAAGTTTGAACAGACACGCAATGTCATTCTGGAACTGAAGAAGGAAAACACAAAACTAAGATCATCCTTACAGTCACAGGCTGATGAAGCAAATCTTGCACTGGTAATCAGAGTAATCATAAATTGCTAGATTAACAAAATTAGAACCTCTCTATCTTGACACTATGAACAGTGGGTATTGTTCTTAATATAAGGAGAAAAACGATTTCCTCGCCAATCCTATTTACACAGATTGCTATTTTTTTGGATTAGAAGTACATATATCAAGATTGATGAGGTTTTGTTAATGAATTCACTATCAATTCAGATTTAGTACTTTAACTGTTAATGTCACAATTTTGGAAGTATTGCTTTTTCAGTTTTAAACGGGCAATACATTTTTGAAATAATTTTGATTTACGAAAAATGAAACTTCAGAGAAAATAGAAGTTGTTTACTTTACACTTACATGGCAAGTGAAGTCCAAAGCTAATCCAAAATTTTCAAATGACGAAATATTTGAAATTCTCAATTAGACCCGAATAAGAAAGATTAATTTTACTTGTGAGTAAAATCAGCATTGGTAGAGATGGTCAAGGGTAGAGGATAGCAAAAAGAGCTACCTTTGTTCAGAGGAAGGATGAATGTGGACTTGAAGTTACTGTATGTTTGCTACCATCTAGACATAACACATATATTAATGAATATAACAATAATATGTACAAGTATAATATTGCTGTCTTTGTAACTAAGCTTTTCAGTTGAATGACATGGTAAATTTTACTGTGGAGGGGGAATCACCATGATGTGCAACATCCTAAGTGTCACATGATATCTAGATGAAGCAAATGAAGGAGTAGAAAAATATTGAAGTGCTGATACATAGTAACATCATTCAGACATTATATGTGCATTTTTCAGTACATTTCCTTTGCATATTTTATTGTCATTAAGCACATGTAATACTGTGATCTCTATCTAGGTCAGAATAGAAAATAATAGTGTACCATATTTTCCATGTTATAAGCCACACATTTTCTTCTTGTGAGCCGAGTGTGAGGCTTATATACCAGTGCGGCTTATATGTGGACCAAACAAAATCTGCAGAATAGGGGAAAAAATGTAGTACCTGTAGGAGACATCATAAACGGTTTTTAATGCAGCTTACAAAAATGTATTATGGGATTATAGGAACTTAATCAACATGCAATAGCCTTTGTTAATATTCAACAGTACAGACACTGGTAGAGAGGTTGTATTACTGTACGTAAAGTCAGGCTCTACCTGTGCATTTGTAATCATTGAAGGCCCCAAACAAGTTCAATATTTTATTTATTTTAAATGACCGGCATAATTCAAAAGTACATCCATAAAATAAGGGATTATTTGTGCAAAATTCATCAGTAAAATTTATTAAATGTTACTCTGAGGATCTTGATAAACTGCCTTCAGTTATCTGTTACAGGTATATCAAACATCAACAATAGTGGTCATCATTTTTTTTTTTTTTTTTTTTTTTGCATGTGTCCTTTGGAAATATATGTAAAAACTTCTCATACAAGTATAGCTGATTTCTCATTTCTTAAACTTGCCAGACTGAAAAGCTCACAGACCAGGAGAGGACAACAACAAAACTGAAGGAAGAAAATTCTGTCAAGGATCAGGAGATTGGCATTCTTAGACACCAGTTAAAAGAACTTTCTCTTCACAACCAGTCAAATCAGGGCAGGGAAAGTGATGTGGTGAGATTTCACGAACTTTTATTGTAGTTATTAAAGCTTGTTTTTTTTAAATTTCACCAGTAAAGTTATAAATTCTGAACTTTATTAAAACATTGAATTTCATCGTCATGGACTAAAAAAGAATTATTGATATACATGCAAGCCAGTACAGATACATTTTACTTCTATTTACTGGTCTGATTTAAGATACAGACTGCTTACATGTATTTTCTTAAGCTGTAATATGTATTTTCCTTTAAAATGGATATTGGAGAGATATCTTTATGGATAAAATGCAAAAAAATAATATCATATTGGTATAATTTTAATGCTTTCATTTTCTTAATTTGAAGGTCTTTGTTGCCAACACAAAGGAGGATGAAGAAAGGCTGAGGAAGGCAGAATCTGAGCGAGACAGTCATGCCAAAGAGGTGGAAACACTGACCCTAAAGAGACAAGCTGACAAAGAAGAAATTTCAAAATTGAAAACTGACCTTAATATGAATAAAAGAGTGCAAGATGAATATGATATGTTGTCTCTTGAAAACTTGGAACTATCAAACAAATTAAGAGCAATGATAAATGAAAATAAAACACTGAAAGCAGAAATCAAAAAGAAGAAATTAGAAGTTGCGGATTTGATGAGTAGCATGGAGGAACTTTCAAAGAAAAACCAAGAAAATGAGGAGTTGCTTAAAAGTGCTGGCTATACCTTGATGGAAGGCTCTCCCAAACCAGGGGATAGATGTAAGTCTTTTCATGTGAGTGTGAAAATGTGTTTTTTTATAAGTATATGACAGTGTGTATTTTCCTTTATATAGTTTATTACATACTCCAAAAGATTTAGAAAAGAATACAATGACATTTACTTTCTTATCTATCGCCAGGGGTCAAATATGTGAAAATCTTCAAACAACATTTTCTCAATAACTGAGAGGCTCAGAGACCTGATATTTGGTCTGTAGCATTTTGGGATGAAGGGCTACTAATTTGTTCAAATGATTGACCTTGACCTTTATTCAAGGTCATAGGTGTCAAATGCATTCAAATTCTCTTCAATAATGTTGTATCTGAGAAATATATATTATACTGGCTCCATAACACTCTGCCTGTAGCTACATAGCTGTTGAATCACAATCTTCTATATCAATTCTCAAAAAACATGGTACACTTATCATCTTATTGACAGCATCTATAAATTTTACATAGAATTGTACAACTTTTCTGGAAAGAAAGTGTTTATATAGCATTGTATATATTAATTACAGTTGAAATGAAATCGGGTGAAGGTAATGTTTTATTTCACATAGAAATCTATATAAAGCTTATAGTTAAGCTATTATCTAGTCAATCAGTCTGTGAACGGAAAATTATACATATATGTATTGTGTGGCACATGAATCATTTGTTTGACATTGCTGTTTAGATAATGAAATTTTCTGAAAGGAAAGAATTAGTTGTATTGGTGCAATGTATGAATTAATTTAAAGTAAGGGATAAAATGATTTTTTGCTTCTTGATCGAAATGCTTGTCATTGTTTTATATATAGAATGTATTTCAGTCTCAAGGTATAGCATTATAAAACACTCTTGAGAAATGTACCATTTTAATTGGTCTGTCCGGGATCTAAGCACAAAGTTCTCTTACTGACTTTTTTGAATTTATCTGTCCCTGAATTTACAAGTAATACTTATGATGATAAGCTGTTGTGTTGCTTTTGTATACATAAACTAATTACTTTTGATTATTAAGTGCAGCGGTAATTTATGGAGGCATTTAAGTAATAGCAATCTATGAACATTATTAGTTAATTGGAAATATTTCATCATTTACTGTATTAGGAAGTAAATTTTATCATAGTTTCTTCAAATAAATATTCACTTATTGCTGGTGCTCATAAATATACTAGACTGCACTTCATTTCTTGTCTTGTTGGCATTTAAGTTTGACAAGTCAGCTACATGACTTAACCTTTTCTCTTCTTTCCTAGCTTATATTTTTAGTCTTCATTAACAGCCTTTATGCAAAGACATTTTCAAGGTCTACAGCACTAAGGCATGGCCTTTTTGTTTCATACTTCTCTCTGGTTGTTTTTTTTTTTTTTTTGGTTAGTTTACTTACATCCCCTCAAATGTCTGGTGGAAAGAACTAAAATTGTCACCATTGTGTTGTATGTATTAAAAACGCCGTCAATGTAGACATGATAATTGAAAAAAATCATCCTAGTTGACAGATGTTATATTTGTTTTTCTTTTTTTCTTTTCTAACAGTTTTACATGTATATATATATATGTTTAATGAACAATGGAATTTTGTAGAATTTTTTCACAAATCTGTCCTATGGTATCTAACAATAAATTAAATACTTGTCCAACGCTTAGCATTTACATCTGATATCTATTGTTTGCTTTATATGAAACTCCAGTTGCAGATAGAATATATTTATATAAAGCCCGCTTCAAAATTGTATTAACTGAAATTTAGCTACTGTATATATATATATAGAAACATTCACCCAGTGTTATTTTCACCCAGGTACAAAGCTATTTCACCCAGTGCTAAATTTGCCCTTGAAAATATGGAAATGTATTTCTACATAAGCATTAATTTTAAGCCCTCTTTATAATTGCATCCTCTTGATAAAAGGGCAAAACTGGCAATAGTAAAACTGTGGGGAAAGAAACTTTATAGTTTCTAATATTTACAGGGGATTAATTTCAATATATACTCGGCGCCAATAAAAACGCAACACTAAAATTTTGGACATAATATATTCTTCACAACAAGGATTAGATTCTTATTCTGCTGTATTTAGCCAAAACACAATGCACTACAATACTAACGAAATAATGGTCGAGTAATATCAACTCCTTGTCGTACCACAGGGCATTGTCGTAAAAGCATGAGTTTGCACGTCGGCGCTCTAAAGTGCGTTACATCCTTGCTCAGTCACTACTGGTGAACACTGTAATTACAGGCAGACATTTTTCCGTCATCAATTTTTTAAATTGTCATCATTATTTGCTACAAATGCCTCGACTGACAGACAATGAAAGACACGAAGCTTGGGGTATGCTGGCAGGAGGGCTTTCTCAGAGGGAAGTTGCCAGGAGAATGGGTTGTTCTGCTTCCACAACCAATCGACTGGCAGAACGAGTGCGACAAACCAGATCCGTGAGAGATCGACCTCGTCCGGGGCGACAGAGAGTGACGACGCCAAACCAGGACCGTTACATTCGAATAAGTCATCTGCGAGATCGTTTTCAAACCGTGACAAGAACGGCTAGACAGACGATAGGAAGTCATGGCAGACGTTTGTCAGCTAGTACTGTGCGTCGTCGCCTTCGCACAGCCGGATTGGCGTAGCGCCATCCATTTAGAGGAAACGAATTGACTCAAATTCACCGTCAGAATCGTCTAAATTGGACAAGACAGCGCCGAGGATGGACCCAACGTCGGTGGGCTGGCGTCCTGTTCACCGACGAATCGAGATTCCGCCTCAGAGGAAATGACGGTAGAATTCGAGTGTGGCGACGCCGAGGTGAAAGGGTTTTGGACTGCTGTGTAATGGAAACGGATAGCGGGGGCAGTGTGATGGTGTGGGGAGGTATCTCTTTTGCATACCGTACCCCTCTAGTAATTATTGACGGCAATCTAACAGCACAGCGCTACATCAACGAGGTCTTAACTCCTCCTGTTGTTCCATTCTTTGCTGGACACCCAAACGTAGCGTTATTACAAAACAACAATGCGCGACCACATACCACTCGTATCACTACAGACTACCTTCAACATCAGAACATCACAACCCTTCCGTGGCCCGCGTTTTCCCCGGATCTTAGTCCAATCGAGCATCTTTGGGACCAATTGGGTAGGGCTGTGAGAGAGCGACCACAACAGCCCCAGACGCGTCGGCAGCTTGAAATCGCTCTTCAGGAAGAGTGGAGGAACATTCCTCAAATCAAAATTCAACGCCTTATTCGGTCAATGCCTCGAAGATGCTGCGCTTGTGTCCCTGCAAATGGTGGCCACATTAGATATTGAACGTGGCAATTTTGATTTTGGTGGTATGGACATTAGTCACCGGAAATCAAAGTATTCCCATGATGTAGTGCTGATTGCATTGAGTGAATTTTGTTATGGACATAATCAACTTTTAGGTATTTTATTAAATATTGTATTCAAAACTATAACTGGTAAATTTTTTGACAGTAATTAAAAGGTGTTGCGTTTTCATTGATGCCGAGTATATTTGTGTTCATTAAAGATAGCGTAAAATTAGATATCTGCAAATATTTATTGTAAACCATAACCCCTGAAAACCTTTATTTATATGCCTTTGGTAAGATATGCTCTCTCTTTTTCACTGCTTAAGACATAGAATTTAATCTTTTTGAACTAGACCCACCCAGAAGCTGAAATTAGCTCCAGGATATTAAACAAGTATACGGTTTGATAAAAACATCCTTCTTTGCGTTAATTATTGGGTAATGCTGTTGCATGTGACTGCTTTAAATGATGCATATATAATTATATATATATATCTATGTCCAAACAGACCAACAGATTAAAAGATACTTGCTATATAAGTATATAAATAGTTACAGATTTGTGATTGTGTGGAGAAATCCAGTATTGTTTACTTTTTGGCATGTCTCAGGGGAGTTCCCATCTCGAGAAGAAGACCAGCGACAAAGACAGGGCATGCGTGTGGCCACACCCTCAGAGGTCATGGTTCAGATTCAAGATAACAGCAAGGTAGAGCAACTTCAACGACAGCTGTCACAGAAAGAACGACAGGTAATTTATATAATTGTCAATATTCTATGAAATCAGCTGCAACAGGGTTTTAATGAACTAATATTAAGCCCACCCTTGTAATAAGCCCATCTACACCAGAAATTCTATTGCCAGAGTTGTATTAAAATTGTTCGAAAATGCTTTATCTTTTTCTGATAATAAGCCCACACTCTTGCATTGATTCACAGGTAAAAGATTGTTAGTTTGTGGGTTAAAAATTCAGATCTAATCATAAGATTGCCATGCAACGATGGCTCCGTATAAATCTGGATTTTGGGAATTAACAGGTATTTTTATTCTGGAGAGATTCATTCAACTGGGTGCCATGTTGGATGGGATCATTTTGGGAACAACCTGAAATTACAGTGGAGATACCTTTGTAAACATGTCAGTTACATGTAGTATTGGAATATTATTTTATTTTACAAGAAGCAGGATATTTTGAGGATACCTCATTTGATTAGTTACGATTTTTGATACCTTAACTTTACTGTAGATGGATGAGCTTGTTATGGAGCTACACCAGAAGGACCAGGAGTTGCTGCACCTCCGAGATACTAACAGCAAGCAGGTGCAGGTAATTAATCTCAGTAATAAAATACAGTAAAACTTTGATGTGTCAAAGTTCAAGGGACTGTCGAGAAAACTTCAATACATCGGGACTTCGACTCATGAATGGTGACCGTCCAACCACAAAAAATACACCTGTGAAAGATGTGTATTGTACTCAAGGCAGGGGAAGAACCCTTTTCTAATGATAGTTTGTTTTGTTTTTGGTACTCAGAAGAAAAGCTATATGAATTCTTTGTTTTGTGATAAACAAGCAAGGCTCAGTAGGAAAGAGCATTACCTGTTTAATTAAAGTCCTGAAAATTTATTAGATAGATATAAATAAGTAATGAATTGTGTGATTTTTTCTGGTGTAGTCACCAACATACACTGGCGATGTACAGAGTTTGATGTCCCAGAATATGGCGTTGATGTCAGAAATCAAGGAAACAAGTGTGAAATTAGAATCAGCTAAACTGGCTGTGGAAAAGAAAGCAAACAGGTCAGTCTATCAGCTTCATAGCATATTAGAAAAAAAATTACAGAGAAATATTTTAAATCATCATGATATTATTGTTTTTCAACTAAACATTTTTTTTGTCAGAAATGTATTCGATTTAATTAAGATTGTACTTTCCTCTCTATTCAATTGTCTCAATTTAAACCCATCTATGATTCTCTCTATAGTAAAACCTGTTTATTGAGACCACTCATAGCTCCTGTGATCACTATCTGTAGTAAAACATCTTAATTGAGAATACATGCCATTCCTGTGACCACTGTCTATAGTAAGACCTGTTTATTGAGACCACTTGCCAGTCATGTAGCCACTCTTTCTACTGTAAAACCTGCTTATTGAGATTGTCAATCTATCTGGTGACCACTGATGTTGACACTGAACCAGTGTATGAAGACCATTAATCAGTCTTGTGACTACTCTGTCTGAGTAGAACCTGTTTATTGAGACCTCTTGCTAATCTTGCCACTACATACAGTAAAATCTGTTCATTTAGATTAAACTGCTTACAACCTGTTTGATAGGACCATCATGTTCTATAGAGTAAACCCATCCTGTGTCATAAGGGAACTCTTTTAACTAGTAAAATCTGTCTAAAGAAACCTTTTCTTTTGTCAATACTGTTTAGACCCCTTCATTTGAGGTCATTTTCTTGCAATAAAACCTGTCTAATTAAGTAGGGGATGAAATGAACTGAAACCTTCTTGGTAGTGATTGGAAGATTTCCTTACAGAATTGCCGAACTGGAGGAGAGATTAAAGGTGCATGACGGCTTCATGTCACAAAGAGATGAGGACAACGCAATAATGGAATCCTTACGTATGTCTCTCAAAGGATTCGAGGAAGCACTCAATGCAGAACGCAGGGAACACCAGAACACCAAGTATGTATTTACACATCTTATGTAGTGGAAGCAGTACTTTGTATTTCAGAACTATCACAACCAACTTCTAATTTAACCTCAAGTATAGCTCATTAGGGTGGAGACACTGTCAATATCTCATCCTCTAAATTCTAGCCCTCATTCCCAGGACTTTTTAATGTCAAATGGAAAGAAGCATTCTTTTTCTGCTTAGAGCTATTCATTTGTTTTATATCTCCTGCTATCATATGAGGAATGTGATATTAAAAGGAGATATGAGTTTTATCATGACTGTCTTGTTAAATTTCAATGTAGTACTGTTGGGATTGGGTTATTGATAAAAAAATATTCAAAGGCACAGTAGAGAATGCCTCGAATCTGCTTCTATTTTATATTGTTTTATGGTCAAGATAAGGTCATTATGACAAACTGGACCATGTCAAACAATGCAGGGTCATCACTCAAGAAACTGCTTTTCATTAGAGATTCTTACAAAACTTAATACAAAGCGTCGAGTATCATATCAGTATACTTCAGATGAGAATTGAATTTTTTTTTCGACGGTTCTTTAACCTGTTTTTGTGTTGATTTGCTTTCAGAAAACAATTGATGGAATTGAAGCAAACTTTTAATAATCTTACTGCTGACTACAAAAGTATACTGCAGAATTTTGAGTCCTTCAAGGAAAACAGTTTGAAACAACAGGTATGTAAAATAACACTTTACAGAGGGTATTGAGACAGTACACAGTACACAGTTGTCTGAACACCTGACATGGTCTATTTACCTCTATCCTGTACATCATAATAGATATAATCCACTCGCCGGTGAATAAGGAAGGAATGGGTCATGTTTATTCTATAGTCTGACTATAACAACATGTTTATGACTATTTTCCAGAAAATGTCAATTGACCCCTGTGAGAAACAAAGACTACTGGACAAAATCAGCCAGCTTACGGCAGAAATGGTATCTGGAGAAGAAGCTGGGAAATACCGTGATTCACAGATGAAGAGGATGAAAGAAGATATTGAAAAATTGAAAATAGACAATGAAACCATTCCAGTTCTGAGGGCACAGGTAAATATGAAAGTTAAAAAAAGTATTCAATAACATATTTGATTATCTAACTAAAAATACATGTGTTAAATAATACATGTAAGTATTAAAAGTATATTTTAAAAATTCTACTTAATACAAACATTTTTATAATGATAAATAGTGGGTGATCCTACGCTCCTAACGTCGAACTTTGTGATAATGTCTTTTGGATTCAGTAGAGTTCCTTACTAAGTAAACATGATAAAATCTAAAGGAATCTCAACAACACAAAGACCAGTTTTTGTGGTTGAGTTTCATTTTTATTTTATTATGTTAAACATTTTTGTAGTGTAATCAATATTCTGACCACTAGGGTCTACTTGAAATAGCCGGTGACAATCTCACCGAACACTCAGCTGAAGGCCCACCACATTCCATAGAAATCAATTAACAGGTAGTTAACAGTTAATACAAACCACTCAGGTACTGGGATTGAATCACATACCTAAGATCTTCAGTCTGATGCTCTGACGACTGAGCTATTATGCCCCTCCCCCTCATCTCTCACCTCCTTGTGCTAAGTATGTCAAGACTTCCGAATGAAAATGTTTTCATTCATGTAAACTTGATTCCAATTGGTTGGTCTGTAGGCTGATGTTTGGAAGCAGGACTTTGATGCAGAGAGGAATTCCAGAGAAAGACAGCATGCAGAAAACCAACAGTTAAGACAGGAGGTTCACAGTCTACAGCTTCAGAATCAACAGTTAATGGATGAGCTAGAGACACTGTCTAAGGGCCAGTTTGCTGAGATGCAGCGTAAACACGTTGGAGCTGGATCTCACCAGCAACAGATGCAGAACTATCTTCAGGTTGGAGGATCACCCACTCCTGTTGTCCACAGACCCCCTATACAGTACCCATACCAGGAAAATATCAATGTGACACCCCCAGCACCCCACACACAACAACAGGTAAATAGGATATATTGGATTCATGAGTTGATATAAAAAATACTGTATCAGTCTAGTTATCTGTGTATATAGTATTACTAAATATTCTCAAAAATTCTTATGCTCAAATCTTCTTCCATGCATGAGATCGTTTGTCTATAGTATGCATTTTCTTGGTTGTGAAATGCTTGTGTAAAATAGGTAGGTATTTCATTAGCACCTCAAGATATCAAGACACTGTATTATTGATAAATAAGAAATTGATTGTTGTGTATCAAGGTTGAAAAAATCAATATTTAGTAACAATTTCTTCTGATGAGCTTTCACATCTGAATTTATTTTAGTTAATCATGTACACCATTTCCAGATCAAATGTTGGATGATTCTAAGTGAGTTCAGCTCACTTTTTATCTTGTGAAGCAAAGTTGTTATAATTTATCTTTAACGTAAGAGCTTCTTACGCTTAACCTGATGTGCTTCCAATACAAGTCAATGCATCATTAAATTTTTCTTTCAGTATAACTATGGTATGGTTTTCCTAGCCTTTTGTTCCTATTAGCATTGACATGCATTTGTGCTTGCTCAGGTCTTTGAATGTGGTTGTTATACCGTAGAAATAACCCATGTCTCTTTAGGTTTTGAATGCTCAATGGGTTATTGTGTAAATGGATGACAGTGGGAAGAATTGTAGGTTATTTTTGTTTACGATTTTGTTTTCAGCCAGCTCACCGTTATGTAAACTATCCCTACCCCACTCAGCAATATCCAGGTGGGGTGGAGGCTCACCAAGCACAGGTAAATGTGGACAAGCATGCATATCCTACCTGCATTGGTCTGGTCATTGCTGTCGTCATTTAAAGTCTATTTTTTAGCATCTTATATAGTCACAGATCACTAGAGCATGATAATCCATCACGATTACCTCCCCTTTTTGTAGTTAGTAGTTTGTAGATAGAGATAAATATAAATAGAAGTCTAGGTCCCAATTTTTCTTGACAGTTTTTTTTTCAGCTAACATGGGCAGTACAGGTGTTTGTGATCTTACTGGTGTATGTCACAGTCCTGAGTCAATCTTACATAAAATCCTATTTTTAGTTATCTTATTAAACAGGTAGATTGTTGGTGTGACAAACATTAAATATGTTTTGTTTTTTTTTAATAATTCTCTCTAACCTAAATTCAAGATCACATCAGCCATTATTATGATGAGTGGTTCAGAGTCTGATGTTGAAATTTTAGTAAACTTCCTTTTCTCCCCTTATTAATGATACTACACGATGAATTTGTCTCCAAGTGTTGGTTTTCATGTCCAGTTAATAACTTAATTCAAAAGAAAACTTTGGTACTATATTCTTGGCAATATGATGAAACCTACCCTGTAGATATACACTAGATATCATTAGTTAATAGATCACTCACAGCTATAGGGAAATATTCTAATGTTTGTGTTTAGATGTAAGTTTAGTCAAACGTCACTTATTTACTTATCAATATACAAGACAGATATCAAGTATTAAGGTCATCCAAATAATAACAAAACAGAAAATAAATAATGTGTTTTACTAGTATAATATAGACTTAAATTCCATAAAGTAACTTGTTAGAGATTTAGAAATATTCATTCTTCACCAGTTGAGAAAAATCTTTCTAAATGTAAAGTTTGTGAAAATATTTTGTTAAGTGTGGTTGGTACATATTTCATCTAAAAGGTTTTATCCTTATCATAGACAAATTAAAAAAATGGTAAGATTTGTATTGTATTGAATGTTTCCAAATAGAGAATCAGCAACAATAACTTTAAATCAGAATGGTATTTATCCTCGTTAGTTGAATCATGCTATCAAAGGTTCTCATATAATATCATATGTAAATCAGCTGACCAGTGCATACTTACACAGCACACTTAGGGTGGCCAGTCAAGGTTTTAGCATTTATAGCACTGCTGTTAAAATCATGCTTTAAAATTTCAATTAATAAATTTGCTGTTTTTGTAGAAAATTCAGTGTACCATACTACCTTACGTGTTGCGGTATATTTACCCAGTACAGCTTTGTAGCTACTGCTTCACTTCACAAATGATGTTAGCAGATATCATCATTTTCCTTTATCTTTCTTCATCGATGTTGTTTTCGTGGTATTTTTTAATAATAAGTAATTTTAGAAACTATATTTCTGTTGAAATTTCTGTCACATGCAACATTTTGTATATATTGGTGTCATCTTTTTTTTTTTTTTTTTACTTATTATTACCATTAGGATGTAAATACTTCAGATGTTTAGTGATAAGGAAAAAAGATAACTTCAGCTCATTATGATGAGATGCAGTAAAGTTTCTGCACGTGAATTACACAAATGCACATGTGGATTCATAGTAAATGCTAACTGAATTTAGGCATTTTTAACAAGAAATTAATATGTTCCTAATTCTGAAAAAAAATCATATCTTTTTAAATGTTTGTTTGTAAAAGTGAGTAAAGAAAATTAGTACATAAAGTGTCATCAGGGTTTAATTAATGTATTAATTTCTAGCTAATCAATATGTTACTTGAATATTGCTTTTCTTAGGCTTTCTGTGCATACACAGGTAACAAAGTTAGTACTCTGACTAGTGTTAATGATAAAATTCATTTTAGGAATAGTTATGATGTTATAGTTCTCCCCAAATGAAAGTGCTGAAGAGCTAATCATGTTGGTAATGTAGATGTTAATAACTTAAAATGCAAGATATAATCTGTCACATGCAAAACAAGGGTCTATATAGATACAAAGTTCTGTATTACACGGGTAGGAGACACAAGGTTCTGTGTAGATACAAAGTTCTGCATTACACTGGTAGGAGACCCAAGATTCTGTGTAGATACAAAGTTCTGTATTACACAGGTAGGAGACACAAGATTCTGTGTAGATACAAAGTTCTGTATTACACAGGTAGGAGATACAAGGTCTGTGTAGATACAAAGTTCTGTATTACACAGGTAGGAGACACAAGGGTCTGTGTAGATACAAAGTTCTGTATTACACAGGTAGGAGACACAAGGGTCTGTGTAGATACAAAGTTCTGTATTACACAGGTAGGAGACACAAGATTCTGTGTAGATACAAAGTTCTGTATTACACAGGTAGGAGACACAAGATTCTGTGTAGATACAAAGTTCTGTATGACACAGGTAGTAGACACAAGGGTCTGTATAGATACAAAGTTCTGTATTACACAGGTAGGAGACACAAGGTCTGTGTAGATGCAAAGTTCTGTATTACAAGGGAATTGTTGTTATGCACTAAATTATGTTGTAAAGAGCTTAGGCTGCCAACATATCAGCCTTGATTTAAGTCTTGGAACAGGCTAATTACAAGGGTTTATAATAATGCTGAAAAAACAATAGATATGGATGGAGTTACAGAGATTACACAACAAGCCACTGTTGTCCTCCTGTCCCAAGCCTAAATGCACCTTATATTTTAAGACTCCAATGATGTATTCTATCTATTCTACAATATAATTGAAACTGCCAAAACTTCAAAAGTTTGTTACACCTAAGCATTCTTTGTTTTAACTGATGTTGAAGTTATGCTTAATTGTGCCTAATGACACATGTCAAAATAATTGTCGGCGTTGAAATACAGTTCTACACTTCAGTGGATATAACAACAATTTTATGACTTTTCCTAAATAAACTTGATTGATATATCAAATAAAATCTCTTATTTGAGCATTTATCTAGATTTCTAAATCTAATATATAAGTAGATATATATAGAAATGGGTGGGCCTACATACTTGTATATACTTGGTTCTGTCATTGCCAACAAATTTAGTATGTGTGAGAACAAAACATTAGCCACTGATTTCACATCAGGGATGAATTTTAGCCTTATAAACTGTTGATATAAATGTTTATCTGTTTATTAGATTTTTGTTTATGTGTTAATCCTGTTGTTTTTGTAGCTAACATGGTACTGTATTTCTGTTTACAGTCGATGTCACGGGGAAGTGGAAGCCAGCAAGAGGATAATGACTACCAGCCTTACTGTTGTCCTAAGTGTAACGCACAATGTCCTGATGTTGACACCCTCCAGATACATGTTCTAGATTGTATTGATCATTAAACACTCAAAACAACACTCTTAACAAACACATCACAACCCTACAGACTTAACACTCTTAACAAACACCTCACAACCCTACAGACTTAACACTCTTAACAAACACCTCACAACCCTACAGACTTAACATCTAAACAAACACATCACAGCCCTACAGACTTAACATCTAAACAAACACATCACAACCCTACAGACTTAACACTCTTAACAAACACATCACAACACTACAGACTTAACACTCTTAAAAAACACATCACAACCCTACAGACGTAACATCTAAACAAACATATCACAACCCTACAGACTTAACACTCTTACCAAACACATCACAACCTACAGACTTAACACTCTTAACAAACACCTCACAACTCTACAGACTTAACACTCTTAACAAACACATCACAACCCTACAGACTTAACATCTAAACAAACACATCACAACCCTACAGACTTAACACTCTTAACAAACACATCACAACACTACAGACTTAACACTCTTAAAAAACACATCACAACCCTACAGACGTAACATCTAAACAAACATATCACAACCCTACAGACTTAACACTCTTAACAAACACCTCACAACTCTACAGATTTAACACTCTTTACAAACACATCACAGCCCTACAGACTTAACACTTTTAACAAACATATCACAACCCTACAGACTTAACATCTAAACAAACACATCACAACCCTACAAACTTAACACTCTTAACATACACATCACAACCCTACAGACTTAACATCTAAACAAACACATCACAACCCTACAGACTTAACACTCTTACCAAACACATCACAACCCTACAGACTTAACATCTAAACAAACACATCACAACCCTACAGACTTAACATCTAAACAAACACATCACAACCCTACAAACTTAACACTCTTAACATACACATCACAACCCTACAGACTTAACATCTAAACAAACACATCACAACACTACAGGCTTAACACTCTTAACATACACATCACAACCCTACAGACTTAAAATCTAAACAAACACATCACAACACTACAGGCTTAACACTCTTACCAAACACATCACAACACTACAGGCTTAACACTCTTACCAAACACATCACAACACTACAGGCTTAACACTCTTACCAAACACATCACAACACTACAGACTTAACATCTAAACAAACACATCACAACCCTACAGACTTAACACTCTTAACAAACACCTCACAACTCTACAGACTTAACACTCTTACCAAACACATCACAACCCTACAGACTTAACATCTAAACAAACACATCACAACACTACAGACTTAACATCTAAACAAACACATCACAACCCTACAGACTTAAAATCTAAACAAACACATCACAACACTACAGACTTAACATCTAAACAAACACATCACAACCCTGCAGACTTAAAATCTAAACAAACACATCACAACACTACAGACTTAACATCTAAACAAACACATCACAACCCTACAGACTTAAAATCTAAACAAACACATCACAACACTACAGACTTAACACTCTTACCAAACACATCACAACACTACAGACTTAACATCTAACAAACACATCACAACCCTACAGACTTAACACTCTTAACATACACATCACAGCCCTACAGACTTAACACTTTTAACAGACATATCACAACCCTACAGACTTAACATCTAAACAAACACATCACAACCCTACAGGCTTAACACTCTTAACATACACATCACAACCCTACAGACTTAACATCTAAACAAACACATCACAACACTACAGACTTAACACTCTTAACAAACATATCGCAACACTACAGACTTAAAACACTTAACAAACACAGTCCCCACCCTACCGACTTAACACTCAAAACAAACACAGTCCCCACCCTACAGACTTAACACTCAAAACAAACTCAGTCCCCAACCTACCGACTTAACACTCAAAACAAACACAGTCCCCACCCTACAGACTTAACACTCAAAACAAACACAGTCCCCACCCTACAGACTTAACACTCAAAACAAACACAGTCCCCACCCTACCGACTTAACACTCAAAACAAACACAGTCCCCACCCTAACGACTTAACACTCAAAACAAACACAGTCCCCACCCTACCGACTTAACACTCAAAACAAACACAGTCCCCACCCTACAGACTTAACACTCTAAACAAACACAGTCCCCACCCTACCGACATAACACTCTAAACAAACACAGTCCCCACCCTACAGACTTAACACTCTAAACAAACACAGTCCCCACCCTACCGACTTAACACTCAAAACAAACACAGTTCCCACCCTACAGACTTAACACTGTTTATATTGATATGAAGTCATATTTAACAGGCTTCTTTTATAGTTCTGTTGAATGTCTGTTGAGGAAATATCTTTGAGATTTTAATGAAGACGTGGGACATGATCACTGATGACCAGAACATTCCTTTTGTGTTTTGTAATATAATTCTGATATTACATCATTGAATTGGAGGACATTTTGAAAGTGAAGACATTTCCATTTTTTTGAAGACCTAAGTAATGCTTTTGAGAATCACCCCATCAAACTAAAAGAAGTAAAGAAAACTTCTTCACAATTATCATCCACTTAGTAACAGAAATGATTCTTGAACACATGTTATATGCATATATTTGTTACTTTAAGAAATATTTGTAAAAGCTTTACATGTTTCTTGAAGGTATTTGGTGTAATTTTGCACAGCTTTGGTCATAATTTTTGCTCGGTCATATAAGTCTGAGGTGGCCTTATTGGGTATACTGTAACCAGGTTCTGTAATTGTACTTCAAAATGAATATGTCATTTCTGCCTTTAATGGGACACTAAACAAATTAGGATTTCATAAAAATTGTACATAAGAATCTATGTGTGTTCTTATGAATATTGTACGCCTCAATCGTACACACAAAGCACATTACAGTTCCATTTGATTTGTAAATGAAATTTATCACAACATGTTTGTACTACGCAATGCACTGTAAACATATAGAAAATTATTATGTGATAAATATGTTATAGTTAGACATTCAAATTTTTAATTTTCATCAATTTTGTTTGTCCAAACTGACCACAAGAAAGTTGTTTTGATGCCGACAACATTTCGGAAAGTCGTAAGAAAAGATTCTTAAACAGAACATCCTATAACATACCACTAGCCTTCAATATATCGCTATAACAATAGATAGATGAACCAGTCTGTACCTGTTGTTGTGGAATATTGAATTCTTCGTTGAATCACAATATAAGATTACAGTACCAGGAAGGTACTTAAATACCACACTTGTTGCAAATGTTGATAAACCACATGTATATATCTATAAAGAGGGTACAGTTTGAATTTTATTATTTTTTATTTTTTTTGTTTTTATTAACATGGGATTCATGTAGTACAGGTAAACATCTGGCTAAATTTTTTAAGGCCTTTTCTTTCTGTTTTTGCTTTATTTATAGTTGATTCATTTGGATGAAAGGTAAAATAATTTTGTGCGGTTGATAACGTATCAAATTGGTTCACTATTTGATAAAACATAAATGGTTTTGAATGCATGTGTTACAAATTGAACATCAACTAGTATTGCTTATTTTGTGTCATCATATCGTGAGATTAATGTTTCCAGTTGCGTTTAGTTTTTTTCTAAAATTCATAATTGTGTGTGGAAATGTGCCATGAACCAGTTGCAAAGTAGAATTGTGACAAAATTTACTGTAATCATCATGTAATGAGTCAAGGGAGGTAACACCCAAATTTTGACTGAAAGCCCAGGTGAAGGACTAATATTTTAGGACAATGAAACGAAACAGCATTTCTTTGCAATACTACAGAGCAGTAATAGATGTTTTATTGGCTTATTACAAGATAATTCTGGTAATTATTTGAGGCAAACTTGATGTTAACATGTTTGTGTGATAAGCTTCATGTACTCCTACCCATTGAAATACATTGCTGAACATGGCATGTCTTGCTGAATTCTTTTTATAGACATGTGTGCTGCCAACAAGTAAGGAAAGCAGGAAATGAAAGCTGAAGGTGTTTATTTTTGAAATGGCAAGAAAAAGATACAGGATTCAAACACTCTGTAGAAAGTTTTTACAATTTTCTTCATGGAGTATTCCAATTTGGTTAGCGTCACATTGGACATATTTGGCTGGCAGGTTCCACTGACAAAGTCAGACATTTGCAAAAATGGTATGACATTGAGAATTATTTAAGGGTCAGATGTAAAAGTTATTAAAACTTTCCAACAGATTCTTTCATAACAAAAACTTGAATGTCCATGATATGAATCATTAAGGTACCAGGTATTTGTGAAAAGCATTGAATACCAGGTGAGTAATGCAAGCCTGACATTTGACCTCGTTTGTAGAATCAAGCACTTTTGTTTTTACCTTAACACCTAGCACTGTATATTATCTTACACTTTTAATAATACAACTACCGGTAATACCCAAGGAATATTTATGATCCCAGGGCAGTCTGTTGTTGATGGAGGGAATATAACCATGTACATTGTATGTGTGCTGTAGAAAAAGCTTGACAAATCTTTGTTAGTTTCATAGTACACATTATCCCTTAAAGGGTTGTGTATCAAGTAGTTTTATTATAAGTGAATCAAATGTCAGGGGATGATTTTAAGCTCCTATTAAATATTTAGTAAGAAATGTCTGTGATATTTTTCTCTGTATATTCCATATTTTGTGTGATCCTGATGACTATAGAGATGATCAATGTATATAGAGGTCCGTCATAGATGATGTTAAGATGTCCTTGTAATGAGTTTAGTATTATTCCAGTAATACATCTTAGCAAATCAGAAGTGGTAGAACTTTATTTCTAATTTACTGCTAATGTGAGATGCGATTACAATAATTCAACTAAAAGGATGATGTATTGAAGAACTTTATGCTATTTTACATGTACTTCTAGTGTGACAGGGTGAAATAACACATGTATAGTGATAATTAAACGTCATTTGATAAAGGACGTGAGTTTTTGTTGTAGAGGTTCGATATGCCATGAGCATCAGTGTTCAGAGGATATTTGCCAAGGGATAGAACCATTTGTACAGATGTCAGGATGTTGAGTATTTTTGGAAGATAATTCCTGGTTCTAAAGGTACCTTGCTGCCATATCCCACAGGAATACTTTTTATGTCATCTGACCCTGAAGGTCAAGATGACCTTTTTCTATCATGCATCTTTCAATATGCAACGTCCATGAACATTTCCTTTAAAACACTAATACTTCCTGAATTTAAGAATTAATTGCTCACCTCTACAGATGTTTCAGACAAAACTGGAATGAAATCCATTCGAGCATTAAGTAAGAGTAGCATTTTGAATCAAAGTATTGTCTAACTACCCTTTTAGGGCCCAATCTCCCTCAATGAGACATCATTGAGGGTGGAGAATCATTTCTGGAATTCAGAAAGTTGAGGACTTATGGGCGGGGCTCCAAAAGGAGGAGTTAGTCAATATTTTTCTTCTTAATGCTTGGGTAGATTTTAGCTCATTTGAATGGATTTATACCAAATGTGATCTGAATATCATCATGGTAATTCATCAGATTTATCAGACTGTCATCTGCAAATTCTGTAGATGTCCATCCATACCTCGATTGTCAAATGACCATTAAGGGCAATGGCCCTCTTGTTTCTAGTTTCCTTTACTTTGAGTGTTAATTTTGCTCTTTGCCTCAACCATGGTATTTTTCTTCTTAGAAAAGCACTCTTTGTATTGCTTTTTCAGGACATAAAACAAGATTGATGGAAATAAATGACAACAAGGAACATTGAATTGAATTTCTTTTATGTAACATCAGCCAGCTTTAGTGTTTCAGCAAGCCATAACAACATCAATTTATTAATTTCTCAAGGCCAAACAATCACATATGTTTCATGATAAAAGAACCTTAAAACTATATATACCTTGTTAGTGGTGCTGGTTGGGAGATGCTTATGTTTTAGTCTTTTGACTGAACACTCAATGACAAGTATATCTTGTAGATTAGTCATCACAGCATGAAAGTGTTACTGGACAATATAACGGTCACCCCAGCAGAGGCCTTGCCCAGAGCTTTAAAACAGTCACACCAGCGGAGATTTGACCCAGGGATATAAAACAGTCACACCAGCTGATCACATCAGAGAATGCCTTTTCCTCAGTCATAAAGCAGTTACACAAGGAATGCCTAGCACAGGGCCATAAAACAGTCACAAAAAGGTAGGTCTAGCCCTGGGCCATAAAGCAAGTTGCATTATGGGGTATCTAGCCTTGAACCATAAAAAAGTTACACAAGGGAACAACTAGCCAAGCCCAGGACCACAAACACTCACAAATGGAGAATTCGCTCAGTTCTATAAAACAGTCAAAGCTGTGGATGCATTGCCGAGGTCCACAAAAAGTCATACTGGTGGAGACCTAATCCTGGGCCACAAAACTGTCGGACAAATGGAGGCCTAGCCTACTTTCATCTGTGAAAGCCTTACCTAGACTCTGGTGTTAGGTTGTACAAGAGGCCCATAGGGCCTGTATTGCTCACCTAAATCAGTTCACCGAAATTTTGAAAACTATGATTTTTCATTTCTGACTAGTAGCAATTTGTAGGAAATGATGATGGATGCTGCAGTATGCCATAAGCTCACTTGGCCCTTTGGGTCAGGTGGGCAAACCATCCTGAAAATTACCCATACATGATCAGCCTTTCAGTAGCACGGTGAGAATTATCATCAACTGTGATGTAAGAATTAAAGACAAAGGACATGATGTTGAGACATTTGACATTATATTAAGGAAATGACATGTGGAGAGAAAATGGTGACACTGAAGGCTTAGTGATAGAGAAAACATGTACACGCTTCTGTCTAACCTATAAAAATACACCACACCAGTTGAGAACTTCACACACAGAAATTTTGTGTATGAAATGGGAACTGATTTTAGATTTCATATATCATAAAACAATCCAAACAGGATGTTGATATCCCTGTGATAGTCTATATTTGTGTAAAATGACACATTGATGCTAACATTATAGAAACCAGGACCCAGTTTTCAAAGACTCATTAGGGATAACCAGTGGTTAGTGAAAATTTTCAAATATGAATTAAAAAAATTGAGAATATTCTTTATCATTTCACAGTTGTAGATTTGTTAAGACAAGTCAGATTGATGTATTTTGAATGTTAATTTTACCTTGAATGCTTTTGTATTTTCTGTGGTAACAACTTAATTTTTCACGAACTGCAGGTTTTATTCTTACTAATCTTTGAGTAACCTGGACCAGACAGTAAGTTTCACTCGTCTACAATTAACGCTACTGAGGAACAAAAAGTGTGATTCAATTTTAACGGGACTGACTTTGAAGGAATAACTTTAAGATCTGGAGTAGAAATTTACAACAAGGAAAAATAAGTTTCATGATTTATCAGTGATGATTAAATGTCATTTTCTCTGTAAACTTTTTTTTCAAAAAATAACTGATTCGTCAATACATGATTTCTTTACCGCATTTTATAGGATTGAATGAAAGGACACTGGGAGTACTAGTTTTACTATTGGTTTCAACATGGAGAAAATCTCCATGTGGTCAAGCAGTGACCCCCAATCCTTTCATAGCCAATCAATGAATCTAACTATAAATCCTCGCAGCCTTGGTGAAAAGAGTGTGCACTTGCCACACCAACACTAGAGAGTTGGAATTTCAAAAAGACAAACAATGTATTTTCAGTGCATTCATCGTCAATATCACAGACATAGCATAACATACCTTGGTATACAAAATACATTTCTCATTTTCTGGCCAGCGGCCGCCTGCTGCATATATTTCCAATGTACAGACATCAGGGATTCAAGGATATGGAAATTAAAGAAATTTTAAACATCCCCTTGGCCTTCACATGAGCTATACAAAATATAATTTGCAAAACAAATTTATCTATATCTCCAGGAACTTCAAATAAATCCTGATAAATCTTCTATTAAATCTGTCTTCATTTTCACTTGACATCTGGACTCCTTACTAAAACACATGATACAATAACCTGCCAGAGACCTGACACTTGTAATATTTGTACACCAGGTATGCCAGATCTGATCACAGGTAACGAGAAATTCCATGACTATGTAAAGCACAAGCCACATGTGTCCTACAGGTGGTTTTAAAAATCATCGAGATATCAGTAAATTATGTTCCAACGACAATATTTCATCATATCCTCATCAACTTGTCTATCATTCTTATAAAACATTTACACCTTTTCATCCTTCAGACCATTGTATCACAACGCTATGTATACAAGCTTTTGATACTACCTAGTATATTAACAGCATATTCCAGGATCACACAGTAACTTTTCACTATCTAACACATCCTAAAATCATTCAAATCATTCATAAAAAAAACTCACTTCTATTTCAAGTTTGAAAAAAAAGAATGTACATTTCAAGAGTACAAATTTTATCTTACCAGGTACTTTACCTATAACTTTTAATGGAAGCACGGGGATCTCAGTACAGGATAAAACGGGAGACACACATTGTTTGCAGGTGATAATACCTTTTTCACATCCAATCAGTGATCAAAACCTGTTCACCCTGGTGAATTTGGTGAATGTACTAGCATATACATATTGCACCAGGAGACCATTCTATCATGGATGTTGTTTAATGATGCAAATGCAATATGGTTTACAGTGACTTAATGTGCAACGTCCATATATAAGCACCATCATGAATAAGCAGACAAAATACTTCCTTTCTACAAAAGTATAAACTGCTATTAGGTTAGTGCAGTAAGATCAACAAGTAAAATACCACGATATCGATATAGATAAATGTACTGTGACCTTGTACAGCTAAGTATGGCGAAAAACTTTGACGCAGTAACATTGATAGCAAATAATACCCAGTTCATTCTTCACTTAGAAGACATTTTCTCATATGAAGACTTCATGATAAGTACACTATACCACACATTCTTATCATATGATAGGACACTATATATAGCACATTCCCAATCACATGACAAGACATTTCTATTGCAATTTAATATGTAACACATTCCTAATCACATGACTGGCATCCAATCCTCATCACTCTCCTCCAAGTTGTGCAGTCCTGGAACCACAGAGGACCTTGTCAGCCCCCAGAATTTTTGAGGCTTCAATTCCTTCATCGTGGACGTGAATTTCCAGCCCATGTGAGAGTTGCAGCGTCGACACTGGGCAATTGTCCAGGCATAGCTGTAACAGTTAACCATGTTACAACCAAATATAGGCATTCATGGTTCATTACATTACTTCATTACAGATAACTTTTCCTGAAAGTTTCCATTTCAAAAGCAAAATATGAACTACATCAGCCTGTTTTCTGATGTCTTAACTGACATATGTATAAGAATTCTGAATTTTTTGTGGCTGTTATGAAGATATGAAGCTTGAAGTTTATTCCAGCAAAATTAAATTAATTATTTTGAAATATCTGATTCTAGATAAGCAAATTCAATTTACAAATTCATGCTTTTAATGTGTTCTTGGGTTTGGAATATAAGAATGCCTCAATTTTGAATAGAATACCTGAGATCACCTACAATAAGATTCCTTAACTGTATAGCTTTAGTCTGAGATTTCACGACTCAATCCTAATCAAGATAAATGTTATTTACTCATGTTTTACTCCTAATTCTACAATTATTTACATATACATACAGGTATATATTATATATGCATTTACATAATTTTACATATACATTATTACTTTAGAATGTTTTCAAGGTGTCGTAAGATTTTCAAAGCACATACCCTGGAAACCAACTATGTTCTGTTGAAGGTCGTCCAATCAGATTCAAATTTTGAGCTTTATGCACCGTCATAGTTTCATGAACATAACCTCCAGGATTGACATAAGCCCCGAGAGGCCCTTCAATGGACAGACTGAAAACATCATTCTTATTCGCTACCTGGTATCCACAGCCCTTACAGCAGAGTATAGAACACTGAAGAATCAAGCATGACCTTACATGAGCATAATTTACTACAATATCATAATAAATCCTAATCAAGGGATATTGAAGCATAAAACATAAAAATTTAGGTTCAGATAGGATTTTAAAATACCCTAGGCAAATCTTATTGTTTAAATGGATTTTTTTGCCTAGATATGAACAGCATTTTTTACCTAGGTAAAGTTTAGTGTTTGAATAGCATTTTTTTTACTTTTTCTAGCATTTGAATAGCACTTTTTTACTTTTTCTATGATGCTCAGGGCACACCGCAGCCTCTGTACTGCACTGTCTATACTAAGGAGGTTGACACGGAGTCCATCATCGAGAGGCAGGTTCTGTGTGACCCAATATGACAACTCTACTGCATCTTGAGGCATATTCTCTGGTCGAAATGTTTCATTCCATTTGTGAAGTTCCTCTTTTGTCCGCTGCATCACCAGCTCCTGTAAAAAAAAAATTAAAAATTATACATTTTGTATTTCATACAAGTTTGTATATGTACAATATGTCATGGTTTTGGGACTTTGACACATGGGAAGTGAAAACTTGTGTCAAGCCTCACAACATATGAACCATTTGGTCATAGGATATATACATTCAGTCAGGGATGACCTTCCTTTGTGTAATCTTTACAGTGAATGGATTTTCTGAACATTACCTCTTGATTTTCATTTCTTAACTTATCTTTAAAAGTGGATCCTGTGTATCGATAATGTACAGACAGGACTGTATATATACTTACCGCATCGTACATTTTGTAAACCCAAGGTGGCCACCAGGTGAAGCAAGCAGCAGTGAACTTGTTAATCTGTCAATAGATACATTCACAATAAAACATGGACAAGTTAAAGTCTATGGAACCAATGAAATCAGACTTCATCAACTTCACACATGAATACACACACACTTAGTGAAATCCTCATGAGGATTTGCAAGAATAAAACAAAACTTGTTGTTTGCATAAGAACAATTGTTTCCAGTGAATTGTATTAAATCATAAATTTATGTGCCAATGACAATCTGCATCAGCGCAGTAGTTGTCGCTTGTTTTGTCCTTCTGGTTGCCACCAGTCATGCGTACAAAAGAGTAAACAGTATACAGTAGATCTACACTTAACAAATTACAGTGTATTTTATCTAAAATTGGCTGCTTAATTGTTTATAAATTCAAACCTTCATCTATAGACCTGAATGTTTGACAAAAAAAAAATAGCTTGATAGAATTTAGAAGGAATGGAACACAAAATATATTTGACAGAAACTAAATCTAATTCAACAGTGTTCTAATCATCAGTGTTTACTTCACTAAGGCAAAGAAGAAAAAAAATTGGAACCAAACAAAATATTCAACTCATCCAATGTATTTGATTCAAGAGTGAGTTTTACAGTATATTCTGAATACAACACACTATACAATTCAACACAAAATTCTCTTTAATTTCAGTCTCTGGTAAAAGTCTATGTAAGACAGCTCCAGACATTTTGTATGACTTATTTTTTTCCAGTAGTGATCATTGTTAATGTTTCTCAATATTCTCACACGTGTTTCCTAAAAATATTTTGGAATGAATGACAGACAATCCAATGTTTTCATCATAAAGACAAAGCATGCTGCAAGCATCATTTTCCTTGGTATAATTTAATTCCTCTGTATGCATTAATACATTTACAGAGTACACATATGTCTGATATTTGATACTGAACTTCTGACAAAACCCACCTATGTACTTTAGAGTTGCTTAAAAGTACAAACCTGTCTTTTGTTAACCATTGCTACACTGGTCAGAACGTTGCCTTGTCTGTCCACTGCTGTGCAGGTTTTGACCACACTGTCCTGATCAGAAGGACAACAGAACTTGCAGTGGGACGGAGGCCGAGCTCCCTCAAGACAGTCTGGCAAAACCTTCTCGGGCAATATCTTTACTTTTCCAATTAAAATCCTTTAACAAATATCACCAAAATCCTTAAAAATTTGAATGAAATACTCTTGATGAGAGATGCTAATTATAGATTATAACAATGTTAACCAGAGATTCACATAGATATGAATAATGTTACATATATGTACCATGAGACAAGATATACAACAAAACATGTATTTAGCAATTCAATTTTGACAAAACACCTGAAAAATTTGGTGAGTAAGATATATATATCCAACAAAATGCTACAGTTTGTTTGTCTTCCTGGCAAAAATTCACAACTATCAAGAAACAGTCTCTTTCAGCAAATTGCGACAACTCCCCATGTGTTAGTGAAACGAGAGAGGAAGAGAGTATGATAATTGACAAGGCGATATCTGAAGGCACTGAATGAAACAAAAGGCCAATGGGGCCATTATCACTCGCCTCGAAAAAAGAATTATTCTATACTCTTACCCCTACTTCCCATATTAAACTCTGTCACTTTTTAGACCACTGATTTACACAATACTGAATCTCATTCATCAAAGAATATTTCAAGCAAAATGTGGTAAAATACATTCATTGCAATAGAAGACGACCGGTTTCTAAGATTACATTAATCTACCCTACTGAGCCATGTCTCCTAACCATAATGAAGACTGCAATTACACTACTATACCCCACTGGAGGGAGCAAAGACCAACTCTTTCTGCAAAACTAAAGGATGCTTCAGACAAAATTGTGACAAAATCCAGCCATACAGAAAAGAAGTGATTCAAAACTCTGCACATGAACCAATTTCAGCAACAGTTTATATAGACAAGAAATATAACCATCAAGTGTTATTTAAACAATTGTAAATGACTCAAAATTACCCAGTAGGTGAACGTTCTGTGTCAACAATATGAAAGCGCTGACGACCTTTGGCTTTGACTCTCATAGTTGACAATCCCGTGTTGTCATCGGTCTCATCTCTTACAGAGAATATCTCGGCTGTGGTTCCTATGGTTGCCATGGTGTGGGCACCCTCCTCATGAGTATGTCTACAATAGAAGAAGACACTGATCACTGTTGTGTGACAAGAATGATATACGATGTAATATTTAAATCAACAATGTAAAATTTAGAGTTTATCTGTTCAGCTCCCTTTTCATACCATGTACCATAAAAACAAAAAAAATGTGCAGGTCTTTTTTTTTTTGAGAAAATAAAAGTCCAAATTTAGGGGTATGCTCATTACATAGTTACAAGATTTTCGATGTTTTTTATCATGGAAAAATCACAGATCTGATTACTAGCTATTTAGGGCTTGGTGTATTCACTTATACACTAAATTACTTTTTCAGGCAAAGATCTTCTGTTTCAATTATAGTAGTTAAATTCCTGTCTTATTTGCAAAGTTATTGCCAAAGGTTTGATCTATGATGTTTATGCCTATGTCTTGTATGTGAATATAGGTAAAAATGACCCTGATAGGTTTTTTTCTGTGATGGACTGTAGGATACATATGCGGCTTTTGACTTGAATTTAAAATCAAAATGTTTCATTTTTGCCAACTTTGTTATTGACTTACCAGTTAAAGGTGATGTGTGTGGGGACTAAAAGATCTAAAAGCATTCTGTAAACTACATTCTTGTCTTACCTGTAGGCTACAACCCCAAAAGTTTTGTCTGTGTCCACTACACCTTTGATCATGGCTACTGTGTGTTGGTGAAACAGGTGAAGGGGAATGGTCTGGCCGGGGATGAGTACCATTCCTGGTAACTGGATGATGGGTAGCGTCACCAGCGAGTCATCATCAAGGATTGTACGGCCTCTCACATCCTCAAGGTCACTTCCCAGGTACTTCATGAAACATTTTGCAAAATTGATTTTAAGATTAAGACAAAATCTAAAGATAACAACAATATATTATTTCACAAATACCTCGACATGATACAGTGTAGCTGTAGATAGATACAAGTACCTGAACTGGTAATTAAATACATCTCAAATGTCTTACTGTACTTCTATATGCAACAGATGTAACAAAGGTCATTATCTTTTACAATGCCTCTGGTGGAACTCAAACCCAAAACCTCTGGATTAATAGCTATAGTCTTACACTCAACCAATCATGCTATATAGAAGATTTCTCTTGTCAGTGACGTATCATACAGAGTGTTGAGAAACTTTTTATATTTGTTTCTAACACAGTGAAGAAATTTGACTTCTAATTAAGTTGCTGACTAAACTGCTCTGGTTAGACCCGTCAGGGCAAAGTCCACAATAATTACAGCATATGGGGGCATATAGGTTGGTGCAATGTAGGACTAGATAACAACTTGTTTTTACCACGAATCACACATAATTATTGGTTTTCAAATACAGATTACATATTGCTCTAGTTTTTTTATTTAATAATTGTCAAGGTAAGTATACACAAGCATGTTTGTCATTTTAAACACAGAATTCTATCTTTATCATAATTTTATCATGCAAATGTACATGTATACTCTCTCAATTAATAATGTATTAGAGATTGAGAGGGTATACACGTACATTTGTACATTTGCAATATCCAAACAATTAAAAGCTACATGTACATGTTGAAATATATTTGCATCATCATTACCGAGTGAGAAGTTGGAAGAGAAGAATCAAATGTTATAGGTATTGATTGTTGTCTTTTGGTCTTTTTGGTAAATTTCTTTGATTCCTGTTTCTGTGTTGGCCTGTTCTCTGGTATGTCTTCTTCTTCGTCAGATACATTCAGTTCAATTTCAACATCATCCATCATATCTTCTTCAACATCTTCCTCTATCAAATATAGTCACAAACCATGTTCATTTACAAGTATAAAAGTCATACGAATTTTACGAAGATTGATAAATGTTTGATACTTCCAAACAATAGTCATGACAATCACTGATCCTGTAGTGAAATATGATAGTCTGGCAACCATTTCGATTTTTATGTTTGCACCAAAAGAGATGCGCATTACAATAATTTTACAAATAAACGACATTTTTTAAAAAAAAAAAAAAGGTTGATCCGTCAAAACTGGAGATGCTATTGTATACGACAGCAAGAATGTTTCGACTATCAGCCTCGTGACAAGAAAGGAAACTATTGATGTTACAGATAAATTTAATTTTTGGTTCGCCACAACAAATGTCATTGTTGAACTGAATTACATAATATATTTATTTAAATTTATTTTATCCTGAAATTATATTCATCTAGGAATTCGTCAAAACTAGAAACGCCACAACATTGACGTAAAAGACAATTATTCTACATGACAAAAACGCAGAAAAACAACATGCTGACAAGTCTGTCTATTGTAACGTATGCTCTTCTGTTAATGTTTCTAAAGTTTCATACCGTCATCCTCATCCCCATCTCCGTTCCCCATGTTTACTCCTAACAGCGGTAAGAGATCGTCAGCCATTTCTTGTTTATATTCAAGAATTCTGGGTATTATTTCTTCAGTTTCCTAATCAGGGTCACGTGCTTGATTTCCACCAATCATTTTAACAGTCGTGTACTTCCGGTTCTATTTTGGAGACCGACGTGTGTTTCTGTCTGTCAAGCTGTCATCATACGCTTCAGACGAGTAAGAGACCGGTTACAAAGTTTTAAATCCGACAACAGCTCGAGGAATCAATAAGGTATCTTTAAATGTTTGCTTCCCACTTGTTACGGTATTGCTTTGTGGTAACTTTGAGAGTTTTCCCAGTACCTTATGTCATAATGACTGATGTTGCATCGAAGTAGAACTGAAAAAATAGACACATATTGAATCACACTGTATACCTTTGGACTATAGACAGCTGACGTATCATTTCCTTGTACGCGTATTGCGACCAAAAAGATAACAATCTCTTCAAACATACAACTCGTCAGTCAAAGGAAACTACACCAGATATTTAGCACAGTAGGCATGTAATATTTTTGAATGTAACTTACAATATCAATACTTATTTGATAGGCAAGTGTATGTTATACAGTGGTTTCACAATTGTTGTAACTTGCCCCTGTGCTGATGAGATTTATAGCAAAGAAGCTGAAAGTACAGGTTGCCATACTAACCTCACAATCAGCTTGTTGGAATTTTGGTTTAGTGGTACATTAACTTAAGAGCTTCAAATTAGAAACTAAAGGATCACTAATTTGAACACCAGCTGGCGCATGGTGCGTTTCATTTCTCCTTCCTATTAAAGATTTTGTGCTGTGATGAGGATCCTGGTCACGTAACCTAATTTGTAATAGGAAGTAGTAAGGAAACGTACTGTAACATCTGGTAATTTATCGACTAGTTGTGCCTGCCTGACAAAAGTAATAGATGTTGTTGAGCCTCACTCTCGAGTTGTTGTCATGTCTGACAGTCTACGAGGAAACATATATTTATAAGAAATATGACAAACACAACACATACTAAACCTGACAGGTGTCAAACTAGTGAACCTTCGTTCTCTAGCCGGACAATCCACAGCTTGCTAAAGGGAAATTCCCACTAACAGAGACTCACAAGACGACATATGCCCTGAAATTCTAAAATAGCAAGCTAATGTGTGCTAGTTTGTTATTTGCTGCAGATTACATAAATCTCGTGTGCTCTTGCTTATAGCTCAAATAATCATATGCACTACACCAAAACTCTTTTCAATTTAAAGCACTCCAGAGAAGGATATTGTGCTAAATATCAGACCATAGACTGGTTGACAAATGTTTCTTGACATAAAACCAGAATGAAATCATGGTGTTCTCTGTGTGTAAAATAAATGAGTCAGTGTGGATTATACATATACAGATGTACAGTATGTGTTGATAGGGCCATGGAACCCAGAGAACTGGGTTTGATTCCTACTGGAGTTCATTGAAATAATGTGATTGTCCTTGTGACCCTATGAGCACTTATTACTGTGTTAAAGAAATCATTAGCATGGAATGGATGAAGGAGGGGGGGTTAAAACATGTACATTTGATAGGTGCAAAGACCACAGTAAGGCATACATAGTGGCATTGTATTTAGTCAATGTTATAACTAATTTAATATATTTGATTTATTTTTGTATTATCAATTTGCATACTGTCTATTCACAGCTTATTTTTGTTTCAGAAAACAAAACGAGGTCAGATTTCCCTGTGTAACGATGAAGTGTGAGAATCTGTTCTACCTTAGTGCCTTGTTTAGTGTATATACTGTAAGTATCATACTTGCTAAACAGGCAGACTACTATGAAGTCCTGGGTCTTAAAAAAGGTGCTTCAGATAAACAGATCAAGAGAGCATTCAGAAAGCTAGCACTGAAGTTTCATCCAGATAAAAATAAGGAGAAAGGAGCAGAAGAAAAGTTCAGGGAAATAGCTAAAGGTATGTTTAAATTTCAATCTTAAGAAAAGACAGAAGTATTTTCTTTGCATACATGTGAAACAATGCCTAAAGTTGATCTGACTGTAAGGTTCTGTGTCTCGGTTACAACACCATTGTACTAGCTTCCAAATTCACACATACAGCTGTCAGAGGTTGAGGTGAACATTTCTTAAGATATAGCCACTGACAAGTGAAAGAGAATATTCAAATCCCCCTAAAGCTCAGTCAGCTGAGCTCTCGACTAGTAATTAAACTATAGTTTGACACCTAGTGGACATGTATTTTGAGAAAGTGATATCTTACACATTGATGCTTGTATTTTATTTGTTTGAAACAACTTCTTCTCAATAACCAAAAGGCTCAGATTGCTGATATTGTGCCAGTGGCATGCTGGGATGAAGGGCTATACATGTGCATTGTAACTGTCATGCTCTTGTATTCATGCAATATGTTACATGTGTTTCATACTTAAATTTGATAAACAGATCATAAAGGCATTCATTTTGGACTGATATTAATTGCAGAATTCCATATTTAGAATGAATTGAAACGTTTTGAATTAATAACTTGTTCCAGCCTATGAGGTACTGGGTGATCCTGAGAAAAAGAAGAAATATGACACATATGGCCACATGGATGACCAGCCGTTTGGAGGTGGAGGTGGTGGATTCCCGTCTCATAGTTTTGACTTTGGAGATTTCTTTAAAGGATTTGATGATGCATTCAGTGCTCATAAACAAGGCCATCATAAACACCAACAGGGTTTCAAATTCTCATTTGGTGGAAATGGTGGAAATTTTTTCAATTTCGATGATTTATTTGATGATGATGATGACGAAGATGATGATAACGGAAGTCATTTTTTCCACGACTTTTTTCATGACGATGATGATGATGACTTCTATCAAGATGCATTTGGATTTGAAGACGATTTATTTGGTAATCTTCATCATCACAGTCAGTATGACCATGCTTCAAACCATCATCAGAATATCCGTAATCAACATCAAAGACTTCATAAACATAATCATGAAAAGCACCAAAGGAATCATCAGCGAGCACGCATGCATCACCATCACCCACATCACAACCATGCCCAAGCACATGCTTCAAGCTACACACAAGGTAATGTACCATCAGTAGAAATACAATAACTAATTCCCTATCTAAAGTGGATATCTTGTGATAGAAAAGCTCTCTGCAAGAAAGCAGGATGGGTTTAGTATTGGTCAATGAAATTTGTACAAATTGGATTGTTGCTGAAAAATTACGGGATTGTCAACACTGCTACAGAGATATAAAAATAATTTTGTTTTGGGGAACATTTCAACTTCATAAATATTGGTCTATCAAAATAATTTCATTAAGTTTACATTTGTTTTGATGAGGATTAAGATAAGGAAAGATATGAAACTAACCTTTACCTTTCTAATTTTTGCAGGTGGAAGAACATGTAGAACCGTAACACAGAGAATAGGAAATATGGTGACTACACACACTGAGTGTTCCTGAGTCAGTGATCAGTATCACACATCACACTGAGTGCTACAAAGTCTCATCATTTCATGAAACATACCTGAGGTGTTCCTGAGTGCCACACATCACTTACACATAGTGATCTAGAGTAACATTGTTAGGTTAATTAAACAGAAAAGAGTGTTCCCTCAACTGTGAAAACTTTCAATGAATCTGTGATATCTGTGAAATTAGACATGTGCTAAATGTTTATATCCATAAACTAGGTTGTCACATATCACAAGATTTTTTATCTTGGCCCCCGAGTCTATGACAAGTAAGGATCTGCTGGAATATTTCATACCTCAGTGCTCACCTTAGAATTGAGAGTAGAGTGTGAATGCTGAATAGAAGGATATATAGAGGGCAATCGTGCTTTAGAGGAGAGTACAGGGTTGTGTAATTTTCTATATAAAAATCAACGGAAAATATAATGCGTAATAAGATAACTCACATGGTGCCTTGAAAGTAGTTCATAAGGCAGGAACATATGATTAAATTATTCTGTTATTACCACAGTATACTTAGTCAAATAGTTTTTCATTGGACCTTTTTTTGTCTGAATGATTTAACTGCAGTGAACTAATTGATTTTCTCTACTATTTGTTGATAAACAAGCAATACTTTCAATAATGTTATGAATCCAGTTTATATTCTTGTCTAATTGTACTGTTCTGAATATACATCTTAAAACAAATTACGACAGATGACAGTTTTTTACTCCAGCAGAGATGTGTATTCTGTTCTTTCGTAATGTAAAGTTATCTGCCCTTTTGAGAAGATAATGATAATTAGTTTGTGACATTGTTAGGTTCTGTGGGAAACTCACATCATTTTCTCATGACTTTACTCTTACAAACAAATGACAACTATCTATACCTGCTCACAAGAGCAGATAACTCTGCATTACAAAAAGACAAAATATCTTTCTTTAGTGTGTATGTGATCAATGTGAAATGAGATGTTTCCATGGATAGGATGCAATTTTTTGGTATTTTACTGCATGGCTAGTGTTTTAGGAAATAACTGAAGGCTGTCAGAATTTGTTTTTATTATTTCTAGTTGATATAGAATGTTTAAAAGCAGTTTTAAAGCCTAAATATGTAATAGTATTGATTGATTTGTATTATTCTCTCTTTAGAGTTAAACAGGACAAATTGGGTTTCATGATTCGTGAGAACTTTTCCAGTCCACTAGGCCATAATGTGTACTCTTCAAGTAGTGAAAGCTTAACATAAAAATCTTTTATTATGTTTGTTGATTTCTAAGACTTCATTTGATTTGTAAGACTTGCTTGCTGTGATACAAAATTTGGTCGAATTTTAGACCATTTGTTAAGGAGAGATAACTGTTGTATAATTAAAGGACTTAACTGTCAAAATGGATTAATCAAAGTATATCATTACATATAAAAGAATTCTCATACATGCTGTCAAAAATGAGTAACAGGCATGTTGAGTTAGAAACTAATAAATAGATATATTATACCCAGTCAATGTACTGCATTTAGTTTAATGTATGATGTTATGACAAAACTTGGACTGGTGAAGATTAAATTTATTTAAAATCTATAGCTGTATATCTTATTGCAAGAATATAGTTCTAAAATATCGGTAAACTGTGGTGACCTACCTAATGTATAGTTATATTGTTGATTCAAATTGTTAGGAACATGTTAATAATTAAGTCAACACTCCATAAATAAACAGAGTTTAAAAACATATCACTGTGGGTTTAATCGATTGTAGGATTTATAATCATTGTAATTTGAATATTTTGTCAAAAATTCTCTCATTGTTGCTTCATTGATTATAGAATAAATATCTTCTCCATATAATTATTGATTTGAAAAAAAAAATTATTTACAAGCTTGAATTATTCAGTTCTAAGTAGTATATTTGCTAAACTATTTACATTTTTTTAAATGCTTAGGAATCAAAACTGCATCAGTAAGCAGATCCCACCAAGCACATCACAATAGATGTTCTTGACAGTGATGAGAATTCAGCTAATTTGATATAAATTCAAAACTATTGTAATATCCATCATGTGTCTATCTACTTACTTCTGCATATACACATGTATTTTTATGTAATATTGTATATTATCAACACTACGCCAAAAAATGGTTCCTGAAAATTCAGTTTTATTCTTTGGAAAATTTGCTCAAAAAATTGATAACGAAAAATCAAGAATTTAGTTTGATATTGTTATGAACTTTTGAGGTACTTATTAATGTATAATAAGAATTAGTATGATTTGTAATTTTCTGTAAGGTTACCAGTACATTGTTGTATCATCCAAAAAAAATTTGTATACCAAGGGTATTTGTATTCTGTTTCAGAATGCTCAGTTATTAATGGACACAATTTGTATATGTTGGTGACAGAAATTGTCGGCTAAAGAGAATTCCAAAAATTCAAATATTGAACCTTTGTTAATGTTGGGAAAGTTGTTGAAGCTTATAAACCAGTGTGAATGTGGAGCTTTATTGTATGCTGAGGTTACTGTATTCTGTAAGCATGCTTTCTACGCACCAATTCGAATATACCCATTAGTCTTTCAAATATGTGCAATGAAATCATATGATTGATTTTAATGTGTCCTTTTTATTGTTGATTGATTAAAGAGTTTTGTCCTGTAGTCCGATGGATCTTGTTGATCTCAATAATAAATGGTAAGTGAATATGAAACTCTGTATCGCAAAACAGAACAAAATTGAGGAAAATGAAAAAATGAAATATTTTTATTTTGAGACATAGCTACCAACTTTCCTTTCATAAAGTTTTGTGAAGACTATTTTGAAAATCGAAAGCATTGATTATAATTTGGAAGATCAAAACTATTGGGAAGTTTGGAAGACAGAGACTACAGATATAAGCTGTGTGTATTGGATTGTTTGTTTGTTGTTTTTTTCGTTTGCTGTTTACCTTTATCGTTTATACAACTTTGAGTTGTTTTGATGATTTCCATTCTGGATTACATTGTTAAAGGTATGATGTTATATAACTGGTAATCCTTCCTTATCCGAAACCCATTTAAACCAAATCTTTAATTTATTTACAAATCACTGAATTTTATTCAAATCAATATTTTTTTTTTCAAAGCAATGCTTCATTTCTGGTTTCAGATGTATATTTAAACAGACTCTTTATCATTCATGTATGTCAAGATTTCATTTCTAGTGGATCTATTTTCATTATTTGATTAATTCATATGAAATCTGATTTTTATGAAATTCTTTATTGCTAAGAGACAACAACCATTGTCTGTGTCATAAAGAATTTACAATAAATACAAATATAGAAGCACTTCGTATAGGTGAATTTGAATATTGTTTTTGTAATCACAATAGCTCATAATACTTTGCCAAAAAATGCACATTTACTTTAAATATTGGTTCGTAACAGCAGAAACTACATGCTTTTAAAATTGAATATATTAAGTTTGCTACATCAGTATAATGCAATGTATATGCAAATGGCTAAATGCTACTTTGAGAGCAAGATATATACTGTTTCTGATAGAAAATTCCCATTCAAAATATTCTATTTTCGTGTTATTTTAATGTATGTAGGGCCATTTTTGATTTATAGCTTGATCCAAATAGATGTATTTATAGTGTTTCAACATATATATGTGTTTGCTCATGTTAAATGTTTCTTCATTATCAAACCTGTTTATGGTCTTCCTGACATTAAATGATATTATGGTTATTCATGAAATGTTGAATTTATGAAATAAAGTATTTAAATGATATGTAAATAGTTTGACTTTATGGAGAGAAATTATAATTGAGGGAAGAACACATGTCAGACTTCTTTCTTTCCTTTATTTCTTTCTTTCAAAGCTTATGGCACCTTTTTTCTTTCCTTCTTTCCTTTTTTCTTTCTTTCTTTAAAAACTTACTGCATCTTTCTTTCTTTTCTTTCTTTCTCTCTCTTTCTTCCTTTCAAAGCTTACCGCATTTTCTTTCTTTTATCTTCCAAGGTCTTTGTATCAAAGCTTACTGTATCACTTAGCTAAGCATTACTTGGAACTCAACACTTTTCATGGAAAGACGCTAGCTAATCTCAGTAATTTAAGTAGAGACACTAACACAAAACAATTTTACTATGAACTGTTATCAAATTGGAAGGCATAAACAACACAATGTGGATGAAAAGGGTTGGGAGCTTGTAGTAGATACAAGAGGTTTACTTTGCTTGGCAATGATGGCAGGCAATTCTTATTGGTGCTTGTATTGCAATGTCCATATTTGTGCCTCAGGCGAACGATATCCTAGTTTCAGAGAGATTCATATGATATACATCTTTATATAACATATCTTAGAAATTGTACCATGCAGATGCTATAAAAGATTAACAAACCTGAATTCTGGTCTTTTTTTTTGGGGGGGGGGGGTGGAAAGACAAAAGGACAGGATTTATGGTTGTAAATTCTGGTCTCTTTGAGTCAGAAAGACAAATGGAAAAGAATAAAGGTTTGTTTATTTCTTTTAGGGCAAAAAGGCGAAGAATTAAGGTTTGTTAATTCTTATCCTTTTTGGGCAATAAAAAGAAAGGACAAAACTTGAGGAGTGTTAATTCTTGCCTTTTTGAAGAGAAAACATGAAAAGACAAGATTATTGAACCCAAAAATTAAGGTCGCTAATTAGCTGCATTTACTTCCTTTACTTTGCGTATGATTTGTCTGAAAAGACAAGAAGCAAGGTTTGTTAAATCTCGTCTTTCGGGAGAAAAAACATGCCCCGAAAGACAAAAGAACAGTAATTAAGATTTTCATGTCGCGCAAGACCGAAAGACGATTTACAAGATCGGGCAGAATCGTCTTTCGGTCTTTCGCGGCGCAGTACGTTCTGCGAGAAAAATACAATATTTTCGCCATTTTTGGTAAATTTGAAACTTAAATATCTAAATATTGGTCATTTAAAAACAAAATATTTACACTAAGAACAATTTAATGCCCAAATTCTACATGTAAACCGCCCGATTCTGCCCGATCCTGTAAATCGTCTTTCGGTCTTGCGCGACAAAAACAGATATGAATGTTTTATGTAATACGTCTTCATTTTTCCTTAAAAACTATTCATAATGTGTAACATATGATGATATCAATGCAGAAGAAATTAATAAAAATAATTAAAACGGCACTATTCTAGTCCGGTTCTGCATGATCCTTCCCGATTCTGCCCGATCCTTAAAATCGTCTAACCGGACCGAGTGCAATTTGAGTACAATAGGTGTGTCAGAAGTATTACCTTAGGGATATCCCTACCCACGCGTTGGGCTACGCCTGTCTGAATCGGTCACTGTAGCCTTCTCATTAACATAACAGAAGATAAATTAATATAATCTCAGAACTGACCAATCAGATATTAAGAAAATTTCTCACCTTCGAAGACAGAGTGTTAAAGTTGATACCAAGCCGAAATCTGGCACTTCCGGCTGAGACGCAATAAAGAACACATCAACTTTAACACCGGTCTTCGTTGTATTACAGGTGAGATAATCGTCGTCCGTGAAATTTTCATTCAAAAAACTTCTTCTCAAATACTAGAAGGCCTAGGGGGCTAATACTTGGCCCATAGCATGCTGGCATGGAGCCCTACCAAGTTTGTTCAAATGAATGACCTTGACCCATTTTCAAGGTCACAGGGGTCAAATATGTTGAAAATTTTAAACAACTCCTTCTCAACAACCAAAAGGCTCAGAACGCTGATATTGGGTCTGTAGCATGCTGGGATGAAGGGCTACCAAATTTGTTTAAATAAATGACCTTGACCCACTTTCAAGGTCACAGGGGTCAAATATGTTAAAATATACAAACGACTTCTCAATAAGCAAAAGTTCAAGAGTGCTGATATTGGACCTGTAGGATGCTTGGAGGAAAGGCTACCAAGTTTGTTCAAGTGAATGACCTTGACCCACTTTCAAGGTCACAGGGGCCAAATATGTAAAAAAAAATTAAACAACTTCTTCTCAACAACCAAAAGGCTCAGAATGCTGATATTGGGTCTGTAGGATGCTGGGATGAAGGGCTACCAAGTTTGTTCAAATGAATTACCTTGACCCACTTTCAAGTTCACAGGGGTCAAATATATCAAAATATACAAACGACTTCTCAATAAGCAAAAGTTCAAGAGTGCTGATAATGGACCTGTAGGATGCATGGATGACATGCTACCAAGTTTGTTCAAATGAATGACCTCGACCCACTTTCTAGGTCACAGGGGTCAAATATGTTAAAATATACAAATGACTTCTAAATAACCAAAATGATTAGAGTGCTGATATTGGGCCTGTAGGATGCTTTGAGGAAGTGTTACCAAATGTGTTCAAGTGAATGACCTTGACCCACTTTCAAGATCACAGGGTTCAAATATGTTAAAATCTGTAAACGACTTCTTCTCAGTAACCAAGAGGCTCAGAGTGCTGATATTGGGCCTGTAGGATGCTGGGAGGAAGGGCTACCAAGTTTATTCAAATGAATAAAGCCCAGACTCACTGTTGTTAGAGTTTGGCTTGCTTTTTGTCAGATGACCGTTAAGGCCCATGGGCCTCTTGTTTTATTTTATCTTAAAATTCTAAATTGTTGTATTTGTTTCAGTTATTTTCAGCATTATAACTATTGTTTTGTTTATTATGTGTCATTCAATAGTTCAATATGTATAAGATGTGTTAGAAATAATTATTGCATTTTTGGAATTTGTGTCTGAATTCTTCTAATTGTTCAACTTCACATTGTCCAATTTTTATTATATTATCCAGGTTCATGTTCTGTTTGTGCAATAGACACTATATGTAAGCGTTAAGCTTGGAAATGTTGATTTATGTACAGTTTAATGAAATTACATATTGCTGATTTCGTGAGTTTGGACGGGTTCATTAAGGTGTGATATAACTATAATTCTAGTCTGTAATTTTGTTGCCTTGTATCATTTCTGAATGATTAGAATTATTGGTTAATTAATTGCTATTCTTTACAATTATTGCACAAGTAAATTTGCATATATGACCATATATATATCTTTCAAATTATAATGATAAACAGCATGTTGCTTTGGTCAGCATTGCCATAAATATTCAATAATTCAGACAGGAAGTGGTGAACCGGAAGTGATATAGGAAGTTGAATATATTACTAGAACATGTAAACAAAAGCGAGATCTTACAGTGATAGTCATATAAACTATTTTTGACTTGACATTTAGGATTTTAAAAAGATCATATTGTAGAATATCTTTGTTTTATTATTTAAATGGCTAATGTCTTCATCCTACACTCCACATGTCATGCCATGTGTTGCTCTACCGTCATTCCCCATGTCATAAGCAGTCATATATAATGTGACTCTATCTCATATAATTCTCTATATAATTCTTCATATTATTGTGTAAAGTACTAAATCTTACTATTAGCATTGATTTCTAAGAAACACTCTATCATCATTTGTACATTTCATTAATTATTGTTGTCTATGTAAACTTCCGGCTGAGACGCAATGAAGAGCACACAACTTTAACACCGGTCTTCGTTGTATTACAGAATACCCCAAAATAACTCGATGAAACATACACCAGTAGGAAGCTTAAGAGAGGTGAACTTGCGTATTTGCGTTTGGAGAAGGAATTTCTAGCAGTTGTGTGGGTAATTTCCAAATTCCAGTATTATCTTTACTGTCGTCAATTCTTCTTGGGAACAGACCTTCACCCATTGCCGTATCTCGACAAATTCAAATGCACTAATGCACGGCTAATGAGATATTAATGAGTCACACTGATACAGACTATCAAGAGAACAGTATGGGAGGTGATCCGGACTTTCTCAGCAGAGTGTAGGCACTAGATTAAAATGATTTAGATGTGGTATGAGAAATAAAAAGTTTACTTCTAGAGATGGGTTAATATATCACAGTCCCAACCAGGTAATTGTCCAGTTTACAGATGTTTAAGGCCTAAATTTTAAAGCCTTGTAGGCAACATAGGAAAATCCAAGTTAACAGAAAGTAAAGTCAAAATCTAGAAGGGGATGCATTAGCCCCATTATTAAGTAAATTTCGTAATTTTTAACATCAAATGATTTTAGAACAATAATGAGTACATGTTTGTATTCTGAATCGTGGTTCTATTTGAACTACTGTGCACAAGAAACAAGTGAATAGCACATTTTAACGCAAATTTCGAGTTAGATACAGTAAACCAAACAATAAATTTAATTGCACCCTACAGCTGTTTCGTCCTTCTAGGACTCGTCAGTGAATGCTAAGGGGCTAAATGTTTAAGCCTAGGAAGCAATTGGGGAAAATACAAAGTGTCTGAAAGAAATCAGAATCTACATGGGAAGATGCACTAAAACCGATTCTATTGACGATTTACAGGGTTATGGCCCTTTGCATTTGTATTACATTTGGGCATTGTGAAATCGATAATTTGAGTAAATATGAACAGATGTTGATAAAACTTTGTATACATCCTCATATTTAAAAATATATATATCTGGTGAGTTTGACACTTGTACTACTAGTAGTAAACTTGAGGTTCAACTCGACCGGTCTACAGGTATAACGGCTGATGTGCGGTACTACCAGGTACCCTTGTCCCCAACTGCCCTGGGGTACAACTAGACCCTATCCGCACCCGTCACGTGGTGTTAACACCAGGTATCCCTATCCCCGCCCGTCATGGTGTGGTAGCACCAGGTGAGTCTGTCTCCACCTGCCATGGTGTGTGTGGTAGCAGGTGACACATGACCCCATCC